ATGTCATATTAATAGAATTTTTTACCTAACTGGTTTATAATTGCTCTACAAATAACACATACTAAAGTATTTTCCAAATTAACAGTATTTATTTGACAAGCCTACCTGTCAGAAGACAAGTTTGGTGTGATAATCCTTGAAACAGTTGATGAGGCAAAGTCCAGCTTGGCAGTCAGGACACCAGTACACACTATCTTTTCTCACACCATGCTTCCAACACACAACACACCTTTTCTGGGGATATTGTTTCTTTCCTGTTGCTGGAATGTTCTCGATGAAGTGTCTTTCGGTAAGCCTGGCAGGCCTAGGTTCCGTGCCTGGCCTTCCATGCACCGGCCTTTGTACCTCTGCCCCATACTTGTGGATCAGATCCTTTATTAGCTGAAGCCTAAAATCCACGTGTTTACCATCTGGGTTTTGAGTTTTCCATATGATATAAGAGCTCAAAACCTATAGGATGTTATAGGATGATATAGGATGATATAGGATGTTGAGAAGGCGCTTGAAAAGTTTTACATACCATTTGAGTCCACGTTTTCGCTCCAACAGAAAACTGTTAAGCATTTGGTCCCTGAGATCCACTCCTCCCATCTGTTTGTTGTATTCATAGACAAGAATAGGTTTCATTTGTTGAACACCTGATTTGTTGGTCCTAGCTTTAATTTCATGATTGTGTAGTGCTTGTCTTTCCATTTTAGAACCATGACGTTGCCACTCCCCCGAAATTTCCCCCTTCTCAAGTTTTACATCCTTTATTTGTTGTGGGACATTTTTCCTAGACAGTTTTAGTGGCCCACATGTATCCGTTTTCCTGTTTTTTAGGAATGCTGATAACTCTGGCGAATTGTACCAATTGTCCATCCATACTACGTGACCTTTGTCTAACAACGGTTCCATCAGTTTGATCACAATAGTTGTAGATTTGTTAGAGTCTGGTGGTACAATAGGACAGGTCACTTGAGAGGTTTTCCCTGTATAAACAAGTAGGGACTATGGGACCAGGGGTTTATGAGGGGTTTTATGGGGTAAAAATTGGTTTTTCCCATTTTTGACCCTAAAAACTTGAAATGTAGCAATTTCTTTCCAAACTATTTTGTAGAGCTTAAAAAAACAAATAATGTAGTATATTGAAGCGTTGTTATGCGCCTAATGGTTACGGAGAAAATTCCAAAAATCTGTAAATTTAAAATTCCCATGATATTCTTATGGAGAATAAGTAAACTGTTGTAGTTTGCTTGTTTATGAACATATTTTGATCAAATTAGGAAAATGCATTCATTTCATACAAAACTATTACATTTTACAAAAAAAAATACCTTTTTACCCTCCCTGTTGCAGCAAACCTAAGTACTCGTTAAAATATTGTTATTTAAATAGGGAATAAATGTGATATTTTTAAGGAGATACTTTAGTGGAAATTCGGTCAGGCAAATGGAAATTTGCTTAGTCTGCAGGTTTGCTGAGGCAGGGGTATTGACTAATTAAAATTTCACAAAGGTTTTGTTTGGTTGTACCTCCATACACACAAACTCCATAAGATATATGGTATTGCAAGTGGGCATGAAAGAAATTTTTTATAACTTTTGAATTACAAAGATAGTACAATCTAAATACATAAACTCCTGAGTTTATTTATGCTAAAAGATGGTCTGTAAGCAGGTCCCAACTAAAATGGTTATTAATATAAACTCCCAAAAATTTTGTTGTGTCTACCCTTTCTATTAAATTTAAAATCATTCTTGTTTTGGTTTTGTTTTGTAGTGAAATGAATGTAATTAGTCTTCTGCCAGTGTAATATTAGATTATTGGAAGAAAAAAAGTCCCGAAGTTTGCCTAATTCCATGAATGAATTTATTTCCATTTCCAAGCCAGTCTTTGCAGACATAATAAGATTAGAGTCATCTGCATATAGTATAAGTTGATTTTTATGTCTTTAAGTTTACTTAGATAGTTTGGCGTATTATTGATGTAGATAATACATAATAAAAGTCCAAGTATTGACCCTTGTGGTACCCCGTGTTTGATCGGTTGCAAAATTGATTGATATTTTATAACTTGATTTCCTTCTCTTTTTGATATTTCTACATATTGACTCCTATTTTGAAGGTTACTTTCAAACCAATTTAAATATGAGTTGTTGACGCCTATACTACTTAATTTTTCAAATATTATGCCACGGGATATGCTGTCAAAGGCTTAAGATAAATCCAAAAAAATTCCAGGTACTATGTTTTTCTTATCCATGGATTTAATTACTGACTCAATGAAACTGATTAGAGCGGTATTGTCAGATTTGTCCTGTCTAAAACCATAAGACTGGTACCACTTTTGAAATTTTGAGTTGCTCTAGAAAAATCCTGAAATGAACGAAGCGTTGACTAAATGAACTAAAGGCTTGATGAGTGGATCCCTTTCCTGTCCTGTTGATTTTCTCTTGTTCTTGATTTCTTTATAGCTAAAAAGACAAAAATACCTGGAGACAGAGTCACACAACATCCACATTTTGATGCCCCAACGATGTAGGTGATTGTTGGGCAGGTATTGCATTATTTGGGAATGACTCTTAGTGCCAACCAGGCTTTCATCAATTGAAATCTCACGATGAGAGGTCTAATAGGTCCTGAAAATCCTGTCAGCATGTTCCATTTAGCACAGGGATCAAAATTTGGATCTCCTGGTGTAGCCAAAGTGCTATTGTCGACTATGTGGAATAATTGCAACAGACACTCAAACCTGTTCCTACTAAACATTTTGCCAAACCAAGGTGTTTGAAGAGATTTTGTCGACCAATAGTTTTAAATAGTCGGCTTTCTTACCAGACCCATGTTCATAATTGTGGCAATGAAGGTCTTCATTTCCGGGTGGGTTACATTTTTCCAATCTCTGGCGCGTGAATTTACAGTTAAGTTGTGTATATGCCCATTGATACAGTCGCTGGCATACTGGTTGGTCTTCAGCACAAAATAATTTAGAAGATTTACTGTGAAAAATCAATTAAAGGAGGTCCCTAGAGGCCAAAAACACCATCCGTTCAAATTCATATATATATATATATATATATGTGTGTGTCCGTTAGCGCGATAACTCAAGCAAAATTGATCCAATTTTGATGAAATTTGGTACAAACATGTAAACCTACATTTATTCGAACGAGTTCGCGATCCAGCATAATCGGACCATGGGAACAGGGGTGTATGAGGGGTTTTATGGGGTAAAAATGGGTTTTTCCCATTTTTGACCCTAAAAACATAAAATTTTTGAATTTCTTTCCCAACCATTTTCTAGAGCTTAAAAAAAGAAATAATTTAGTATATTGAAGCATTGTTGTATGCCTAACGGTCACGGAGAAAATTAAAAAAAATGCAAATATAAAATTCCCATGTTATTCTTATGGAGAAAATGAAAACTGTTGTAGTTTAGGCCTACTTGTTTATGGATATATGTTGATCAAATTTGGCAAACTTATTTATTTCATCCTATACTATTGTTGTTTGGTCAAAAAACACTGTTTACCTTCCCCGTAGCAGCAAACCTAAGCACTCGTTATATCTAATGTTATTTAAATTGGGAATAAATATGACTTATTTATGGAAGTATTTTAGTAAATATGTAATCAGACAAGTTGAAATTCGCTTAGTCTGCAGGTTTGCTGCGGCGGGGGTATTTACATATATACCAGTTATGTTTCCTATTACCCCACCAATTTGTTTATTTGGGGTAGGCCTACAGTAGACTCTCGCTCATCCGTACTAATTTTCATATATTTCATGTTCACTATTTTTATATGTTTTTTACCATATTCCATCTGTGATAATGTTAGAAATTTTGTTTTTAAGTTAGGCTAGGATTTTTATTACTGTAATTAATTTTCATATATTTCATGTTCACTATTTTGATATGTTTTTTACCATATTCCATCTGTGATACCCTAATGTTAGAAATTTTGTCCCTCTATGTTCATTGTTACACCTGTGATAACCATTAGCCTTTTTAAGAAAGACCCACTATTATTCACTATTATTCATAATTTAAGTTTGTTAAGTTTGCCTATTTAAAAAAAATATATTTTAAACCTGTTAAATGTTAAACTAAGGGCAGCCTATATTTTGGAATTTTCATGTCAAATTTTATTAATTATAAGTATTGCATCTTATATCTTTTTACAATAATAATGACGATGTCAATTACAATAATGTATTGTTTAAAGACTGAATAAATGACTATTCAATGACTAATGTGGCGGACGTCCGGTCCGGATGACGAAAAATCCGGACTATGGAGAGTCGAGCAAGTACAGTACTGTATATAGCCGTTTTTTTTTTCAATTTTGTTCAAGGTCCACAGTATTGATATCCGTGCAAATGCAGTTCCACCGGTAATAATTTTTACAACCGTGTTTTTATCATCCGAGGTAGTCCCGGTCCCGTTTAGCTGGGATAATCGGACTTCCAACAGTACTGTGCCGACAAAAAACAATTGCCGATCCGGACTAGCGGGAGTTCGAACAAGGCCGATCCGGATGAGCGAGAGTCTACTGCAATAAGAAACAGGGCATTATTCAGGATAATACATATAGAGGCTGTATATAATTGAGATAAAACCAAAACAAAGCATTTTATTAAGAGGCTCTATTAAAATATAAAATGTTTACTGAAGAGATTATGAGTAAACACAGTAGTAAAATTAGTAAAAATAACAATTTTTGAGAAAACCCGACTTTCAGTAGGTAAAGTTTTTGAGGGGATCCACTTTAAATATTGATTTTTGTATCTAAAAAATATATGAATACCTTGAAATTTGTATGATATATTATATAGGATGGTTCAAGGTACCTGTGTGATTTTTTCACATTTTTCAACACATAGGCTACATAAATTTATAAATACAAATGTTTCTTATTCCGTTCTACCCTAACATTTATACTTTATGAACTGTGGGGTGTGAGTTTTTTTTTTACATGTTTAATATTTAGTGAACTTAAAATTTATTTTTCATTTTAGCAAAATGTTTGGGGATAAAGGTTGCCAACCAGAGAGCAAGTATGACTGGAGGTTTGGTCCAGGAGTTCCACCACACAATTCTGCCAACTGTGCCACCCTTGGCCACGTTCATCCTTACTTTCATCTCAATAACAGTAAGTTTTACATTAATTTTTATTTTGAGATTTGTACAGACTGGATAAAGTTATAAAGAATATCCACCCAGGTGTTCACATAGTGCGAATTACAAAAATTGTTGTAACTATTCAGAATTGGTTTTGTCAGTTATCAAGTTATAAAGAATATCTACCCAGGTGTTCACACAGTGCAAATTACTAAAATTGTTGCAACTATTCAGGATTGGTTTTGTCAGTTATCAAGCTATAAAGAATATCTACCCAGGTGTTCATATAGTGCAAATTACTAAAATTGTTGCAACTATTCAGGATTGGTTTTGTCAGTTATCAAGTTATAAAGAATATCTACCCAGGTGTTCACACAGTGCAAATTACTAAAATTGTTGCAACTATTCAGGATTGGTTTTGTCAGTGTGCATTTACAGCAACTAATTGGGAATTTTGTCAACATTTTTGGAACATTAAGTGATTCCGATTCCAAATTCAATTATGTTTTATGAATGCATTTAAAATTGTGAAATCAATACATGCTTACCAAGAGCATGTTATCTATATGTAGAATTTAGAATGTCATACACATTTAATACATAATTACAACGTTACAACTATAAAATAATTGTAAAATACTAGCCACGTACTTTAAAAAATCATTAATAGGCCCCTATCCAATTCTTGAGTTTTAATTTCTATACAAACTAACCTTACCTAATAAAACTTCTAGGAGTAGGCTTAGTTAAAACAATAACATAATTAATTGTACAGCTTAAGTAATAGATCAATACTAGTTTAATTGTAAATAACCAGAAAACTGAAAATATAATTTTTAATCTTAACTACTCTATTTATAAGGATATTAAATCTGTGAAGTTGCTAGGCATATATTTAGACAGCAGATTAAGTTGGGATAGTCACTTAGAGCAATTGTGTAAGAAACTGGCCAGAGTGGTTTGTCTTCTCAGAAAACTAAGACACTGTGTTACTGCAGATATGCTGATTACTGCATACTATGCTTTTTTTCATTCCCATCTACGATATGGTATAACCTTATGGGGCAACTCTTGCAGTGCACAGACTGCTCTTGGATGGCAAAAAAAGGCACTGAGAGCAATCAAGAATAAACCACAAAGACAGTCTTGTAAACCAATATTCAAAGAATTACAAATAATGACTTTGCCTAATCTATATATTTACTGTTGTCTAATAGATGTTAAGGAGTCTTTGAAAAATTTTACAACTAGAAACGAAACTCATCAGTACTATACTAGGAATAACTATCAATTAGATTATAGATATATCAACACCACAGCATCTTTTTGCTCGACAAGGCGTTTCAATGTGTAATATGTAGTGTTCCACCTTGTTGGCTCCTCTTGTACTAATCGGTGTTGTGGAAGGTTGAGAGTCTTCTGCAGGTTCTTCAGCACCTTTGTGTTTTTCGCAGATTATTTTTAAACTCCCCACGACCTTTTTTGCCTTCTTCACAACGTTTGAATGGTTTAAAAAACCATCCTTTACGACAAGTTGTACTGTGTGGGCCCCTTGTATGAGTATCCCTCATATTTGCTGTTGTTAACAGCAGCAGTAATATCTGCCCCATTGCCTCTTGCTGTACCCACCACTTTGTTTTCTATTCCCCAATCTTCAAAAACTTCTTTTAGGAAGTTTGAGATGTTCTCTCCTGTGTGGCTTATTTAAGGAAATGGCACACACTCGAGGCCCTTGTGGACCATTGCTTTTGATTTCGGGCAGACGAAATGACCTGTTACAGCCATAAAATCACAATTCGCCACAGAGGTCCACATGTCTGTGGTTATGGCTACAGGTTTGACATAGATGAGATAATCTTTTATTTTATGTAGCAGGTCATGTAAATCAGCAGGCGTACATGTAAATCAAAATTTTTTGCAAAAATGGTTACATTGTACCGAGGTTCAAAGTGACTTAGCAATCCTAAAAACCCCTTATCCTCTACAATAGATACTGGTTGTAGGTCAAGGCACATCATTTGAGCTATTAAATTGCCAATCTTAACAGCCCTTGGGTCATTTCTAGTAAATTATTTCTATCATAAAGTTATTGGATTGTTTTTTGCCTTTTAACAGGCAGTGGAATTGATTTAGGATATGTAGCAGGGCTTTTCTTTGTTGGGGGATTGGGTGGATGAGGCACAACTCATGTGGGACTGCAGTAGTCATAAAAGTTGAGTAAAGTAGGCCTAGATGTTCCTAGACTAGTACTAGGCCTACCAGGTTGATCTATATCTTCATCATGATAACCTAGCAGCTGGTAATTTTCCTGTCTTTGTTGTTTTAAGACTCAAAAATTCGAGTGCGTGAAAAGTTCTAATGTGTTTAGACAAGTTATATGTGGTATATGACTTACCACCTCTTGATAAACGCTTTTTGTATATATTAGATAGCAAAAGAGCTTTCTTCATTTTCTTTTGTTAACAAGTCCCACACATCACTTTTCTTCCTTTTAGACAGTAGGAATCTTCATATTGTAGGTGTTTTTCTTTATATAGGATGATAACGATAGTAAATGTCTTTTAAAATCTCTATTTCTTCTACTTGGTGGCGGTTCTATGACTTTCCTATGTTTCCTTGGTTACCAAATCGGTTCTTTCAATGATTGCTCAAGAAATACAGTACCCTGTCAATTCATTTTTCTTTTTGGTAAAATATATCAAATTGTCCAGGCTTTCTCGATTTTTTACACTGTAATATGTACGAATTTAAATTAAAATAGTAAATATTTAATTTCAACATTGAAAAATAAATAACAGCAATTAAATTATACGGCTGATCAAAATGTAAACAAATTTTTTTCTTCATAAGGATAACATGGGAACTTTAAAAGCCACTGGGGCAGAGCTCAAGGGACTTTTTTCAAAAATGTAAGGTCAGTTTTCAAATCTATGCGACATGCTCTTTCCAATGACACGTCAATGGATAAAATCGGATTAGTTCAATCGAAAAATTTTGTGTTGGCGTATTAATTATCTATCTATCTATATATTAATAGGCAAGCATGTTTCTTTAAAACCTTTTTTCTCAGCTCATGTGTATCGTAGGGAAAATCTACGCATACCGTCAGAAAGCTATTTTCCTGTAGGTGTGCAGAATCCCTTTATAAATTAAAATAGGCTCAAAAATAAGCACAAAAAATGAATTTGAAATTTTAAAAAATTAACATGGGTCTTATGGGTTGCTATGGTGATGACAAAATAACAACACAATATAAACAGAAAATCAAAACAAATGGAAGACATTCCAATCACATGTTTTATTTACAGTGTGGGATGAAAATAGAGAAATTTGTACAATACATACTTTTGGTCGATTTTTCGACCACGGGGCGTGCTCTCGTATACCGGGTGTCCATAAATGAATATCGGGGTTTTAACTCTTTATAATATTAATTACATTAAACTTACAGTTATAAATGATATGTCACATGAAAGAGCAACTCAAACAGTTTTATATACAAGCTTACAAGTGTTCTATGTGAGCACCATTTGTCACACGGCACACATCAAGTCTATAGCTGAGTTCTTCCCAAACGTTGAGCAGTGTGTCTTCAGTAATTGTTGCAACAGCTGCTTCAATCCTGTTTCGTAATTCATGGAGGTCAGCTGGTAATGGAGGCACATACACACGATCCTTGATGAAACCCCAAAGGTAGAAATCGCATGGCGTTAGGTCGGGTGAACGTGGAGGCCACGCATAGCAAGCTCTGTCATTGGGTCCCTTGCGGCCAATCCAGCGGTCGGGTAAAGTTACGTTCAACCAACCGCGTACTTCGTTATGCCAGTGAGGTGGCGCGCCATCTTGCTGGAAAATGAAATTCTCTGGTTCATATTGTTCCAATTGAGGGAAGAGCCATTGCTCTAGTGTATCAAGGTAAGAAGTACCAGTAACAGTAGCTTCACCAAAAAAGAAAGGTCCGTAAACTTTCCGCCGGGATACGGCACAAAAAACATTGATTTTAGGGGAGTCTCGTTGCACTTGTACGACCTCATGAGGATTTTTTGAGCCCCATATCCGCACATTATGAGTGTTAACATGTCCACTGAGGTGAAAGGTCGATTCATCACTGAAAACAACATGATCTAGAAAATCTTCATCGTCATTTAACAGCATTACGTTAGCGAAGTTGGCACGTAAACCATGGTCTGCAGGCTTTAGAGCCTGTAACAACTGTAAACGATAAGGACGTAGTTGCAATCGTTTCCTTAAAACTTTCCAAACAGTCGACTTAGCAATTTCTAATTCACGACTAGCCTTCCGAACTGATTTCTTTGGGCTACGAGTGAACGACTCTCTCACTCGCTCAACATCCTCTTCGCTAACTCTTGGTCGTCCCGTGCTCTTCCCTTTACAAAGGCAGCCTGTATCTTCAAACTGATGAAACCATCTACGGATGTTATTGTCACTTGGAGGATCACACCCGAACTTAATGCGGAACGCACGTTGCACAGTAACTACAGATTCAGTCTTTGCAAACTGCAAAACACAAAACGCTTTCTGTTCACTAGTCGCCATCTTTGCTACTACCGCTTTCTAGCGGATCGCGGTGTAAACATTTCACGCGCATGCGCACTGGTGCTAACGAATAAAACTGTTTGAGTTGCTCTTTCATGTGACATATCATTTATAACTGTAAGTTTAATGTAATTAATATTATAAAGCGTTAAAACCCCGATATTCATTTATGGACACCCGGTAGATTAATTTTAATATTAGTAAGATGAAATCTGTATGTTTAAGGTCACTTAAAATGTTATTTATGGCTGTTATGTTCCTTTGATTCATTCTGGACATGACTTTTCATAAGCAACCTTTATTCAACAAGATATTATCCATGTTTTGGATCGTCTTGCACTAAAACAAAAACAACCTATCAACTAATTATATAAACAATATTATTACATCATCAGTAGGATCTGGATCATCAATGTTTAAAGATCCTTCAGATTCCTCATTGGCTGGAGTTTGGAGGTTTTCCTCATTGGAGGATTGGATTTTGCCCTTCTGCCGTTTGGCAATGTCTGCTTTGAAGGCAGCCACGTCCTCATTCACTGCCTTCCAGAAGTCGTACAGAGACTCGTCTCTCAGAAGGAAGACCCCCCCCCTCCCCTCCCTCCAGGGTTCGTGTCCCTTGGTTGAATCGCTGTATTTTTTTCCAATCCCAATCTTCATCTCAGAGTATTGAAGGTAGTTTGTAAGGTCCTTCAGTTTGTTCTCGAGGTAGCTTATGCTGTACTGATGATGATGTCGATTTTTATCTACCAAGATCCCATAGTGGACGTTGTCGGGATTTAAATCCATAAGGCCAGTTGCCTAAAAAACCACTTTGGATTGTTTTTGCCGTGAGACACTTGTCCATTACTTTTTTGAGGACAGGGGAAAATGCCTCCATCTTCATCCTTCTCCCATCGTTCCTTTATTTGTCCACTCCTTTTTCCATCCACTTTTCAAAGGTCGGAAAACTGATACGTCCATCAGATGAAGAAGATGGGTCGAATATGGGTACAGGGCCACAACTTCAATTTGCTTTTCTGAACAAAAGTTTGAAAGGTGGAGGCTTAGATGAGAAGTGTGGCTATCTATAAACAGAACTATAGGGAAGGTGGTTCCAGTGCACGCACACCAACTAAAAAAATACATAACTACATATAGCAGTAAAATACATTACTTATGTATTCGAAAAATGTGGCGCAGGTCATCCATCCAGACTCGCTTTTGGATATTGCCCAATCATCAGGAAATGCCTGGGCAATGGCTGCTGGTATTCGTTCATATGGGTAGAGCACCATTATAGTTGGCGTCAAACGCCTAGCAACGTTGCCGTTGACCAACATGGTCCAACATTCTTTCTCGTTGTTACCCGCGAGCTGAGTGCATGGCAACGCTGGTGGCGCTAAAGCTCTCTCAAAACACTTAATGCTTTTTACCATGCGGTTGGCATTCTGGGTTATAGTAGTATGTTTTCTGTGCCTGTAGTCGCAAATGGATATCTGCGATGGGTGCTCTACCGGGAGTTGTTCTTTGTGACAGGAAGACAGTTAAAATGATTTGATCAACCAGATTCAGACGGAAACCTGTAAAATGCATTTTCTTCTTGGTAATCTTGCGAAAAATGCAGAAGCTATAGACGAGGGCTATATCCATCAAATATAAAAACATTTTCTAGTATGCTTTGATACTGCGCCTCATGATGGGGAACGACACCAGCAGCTGATCTTGGCGATCAAACCCCAACATTCCTTTATTATAATCGATTTCTGCATTAGGCTTCTTGATTTTAACCTCAGTGTCTCTTATGTTTAAAATTTTCGATATCTTCATGTCGATTCCATCATGCATTGATGAAATATATGAACGTCTCTGCAGTCCTTCCACTTCATTGCCAACAAACCTCACCCAGATCGCCTCATTTCTTCTCTAGTTTCTAAAACTGTGCAAAACAAACACAGGGCATGCATTGACTGGATGCTATTGCTGTTCCCATTGCATAACACGCAAAAGAGAGGTAAGCCTATTTCATAATAGTGGTGATGATTACCAATTATCCAGAAACACTACATATCCTTTTTGAAAAAGCGTTGCATGAGGTCCAGTATGACAGAAACATCGACTTTGTCATTCCAACATAGGTTTTGAATACTGAGCAGTAGCCTGAACTTGACTTGTACGTCTTCATTTCTTCCTTTGAAACTGGTTGCCATTGGACTTCTGATTTCAGGGTTTTACTGCTTTCATCAAGGAATTGTTTTTTCAGCAGTGGTTGGTTTCCATGCATAACATTTCGTAGAACTCCTCCCCTAAAAATTCATAAAAACATTCTAGCTCAGTTGGATCATTTCCCAGGCTACGAATAGGGGAGAGTGGGGGAACTGTGCGCACCTAAGCTAAATCTCTTATAAGTCATGTATACTTATAGGTAAATTAAAAAATACGTTTTCTAACCATTCCTAGTATATTCTGGATTCAGAGGATTAAGTTCTAAACTAATCGGTCTAATAAATATTTTTACATACATTAATTAGTACAAGTATGCAAAAGCGCACATTTCCCCAACTGCTGGGTAACTGTGCGCATGAGGTGGGGTAACTGTGTGCATGGTATGCAGAAATAGGATGTAACTTTGGGTGAGCAGTAATATAAGGTTGTCATCAAAGTTTGTTTAATGATATAATAATATTATTACACGTCATTGAAAACGAAATTAGAATGCAGTAGTATTGTTACATTGTTAGGTTACTGTGTTAAAAAACAAACATGAAGGACTCAGTGAAAAAACTAAAACCTAAATTTACAAAAATCACAGATGTAATTCTTAGGGGAGTCTCATCCTGTGCACTCAGCATGGCTCCAACCGGAACAATACACACATCTGTACCACATCTCTTTGTCTTTTCCAATGTCTCCACAGATGGAACAAACGTCAGTTGAAGTCTTGTCTACAGCATTTGGGTCCAAAAAATCATTGACTTCAAAGTCGCTGTCTTCTTGACAAAGGGGCTCGTTTACAGATTCTTCAGAAGACTCGTCATCAACAACTGTTTTGCTTTTAGTTCTACCTTTCTTGCACCTGGAGTTGGATTGAGAAGGCCTTACAAGTTGTTTTCCCTTGGATTTATTAAAACTATTCTCTACATTCAAGTTCAACATTCTGGCTGATTTTTTCACGTCCCTTTCTTTTTTCTTCATTGTATTTATTTTCCTTTTTCTCTCAACTTCTTCAAGTTTTACTTTCATGGGAGTGGCTGTAAGGATTTCTGAATGTTGTTTTTCCCCCTTTTTTTCATTGATGGTGTTAGTATTCTTTGGGAGTGGAGAAAACTCCATAAAACAGTTTTTTGTGTCTTTTGATGTTGAAGGCACAGGGTTTTGTGTGCCAGATGGTACTCCACTTGTAACAATAGGCCTACTAGATTCAGAATTATTGCCTTCATTTGGCCTATCATCTTCTTCCACAGTATTACAGTCTCGACTTTGAGGTTGTAAAGTCTCACAGCTCACAACAGAAATCTCTTGATTATTTGCATAGTTTGATGCTGCAAACTCCTCTGCAGAAAATTTGTTTGGGTTGAACGGATAAATGCCTGCCGATCGAAAGCCAGAGGAGGCATTCTGCATAGTGGCAACTTTCATGAATGCTTTGTTTAGCAGCTCGGCAACATCGTACTCGGTGATTTTTGTGTGGCCAGTTGATGTTAAATAGAAATCATACTCTCTATATAGCATGTTTTTAAGAGGACCGAAGAATGTCAAATCAAGCGGTTGGAGCCTATGAGAGGTGTGGGGAGGCAGAGAAACAACGTGGATGAAGTTTTTCCTACAAAACTCATAAATCTCCAACAAAATATGGCTACTGTGGTTGTCCAAGAGAAGTAAAATTGGATCAGTCTCCGTAGGGTGAGCATGTTCTTTGAAATGATTCAGCCACTTTAAAAACACATCCTCGTTACTCCAGCCGTTTGGAGTGCACGTATAGACAGCTCCAAGGGGTCCATTTCGCTGCAATAACGGTGACATTCTTGCCCTCGGGTACACCATCAGGGGAGGGATGAATTGCCCTGCTGCATTTGCTGCAAATAGAGCGGTGATGTTTCTGCCTCTTTCAGCTGATGTAGCAGCGCCTATCTTCTTTGCCCCCTTGGGTCCCAAAACCTTTGGGCATCTCTTTTGAACGGTGGTAATTCCCGTCTCGTCCTGGTTATAAATTCGATGAGGAGGGAATTGATTTTTCTTTAATTCAGATTCTAAGTTGGAATAAAACAAACCAACTTCTTCTTTGTTAAAAGCACAAATTCTGTTAATGCTAGTGCCTTCAGGTTGTCTTAGTTTTATTTCTGGTTTACGCTTTAGAAATCCGTACAATTAATCCTTGCCTGCAAGGCCCAAATCCTTATTGAAATTATGTTTAATTTCGTTCGATTCTGCATAATTGAATACGAGACGCCTCAATTCCTTTGGCGTGATGCCATAAAACAAATTGCAAAGTGTCAATATGTAGTCCTTGAGCTGGAGTTCAGTTTCCGGATGAAAAAGGGGCCTACGACCAAGAGGTTCAACTTTCACTTGATTTAAGCCCAGTAAAAGCTGTTTCCTTAAGGTCGATTCAGGAATTCCGTAAGTTCTCCCAGCTTCCCGTATTTTTTTTATTTTCTCGGATGTCGTGAAGTGCTTTATTTAGTGTCTCGATAGAATATGATTGTTTTTCTGTCTTCCTGACGTAGTTTCTGGGCATCTGGAAGGAAATAAATGAATGTTACAAGCTTACCATTGCATCACATGAGGGGGAATTGTGCGCACCGCTGCGCACAGTTACCCGAAACAGTCGCGAAATTCAGTTTTGGACATATCAAGGAAAATATCGCGTATACCGGGGTTTCAGACACACCTACGTATTCATAAAGACTTAAAGATTAATAATAACTACGATTTAGTAAGTTAAAGATTAATGCAAAGGCTTACCTTCTTATTTCATGGGCGACAAATATAACAACATAACCTATACCGTGCTGTCACTGGCTGTTGTAATGGCGGCGTGGTGAGCGGGAATATCAGTTCCTACTCCCTCCGCTAGGTTTCAGCACCGACTGGAGCACTCTACGATTTTTTGAAATTTGAAAAAAAAGTGGTGCGCCCAATTACCCGCTGCGCACAGTTCCCCCACTCTCCCCTATTACAAGGATTTACACCAGGTGTGCCAGAAAAGTTTATCTCATTAATAATATGTTTACTGCTTATAATGAAAAGTTGATTCTGATGTTCACAGCCTAGCCTGGTGAAGCTGTGGAAGTGCCCAGGCAACCCACTCCACTTTGTCAGGTGTTTGGTGCTCTGCGCTCTCTCAGCCTTTATGTTTGGGTGGCACGTACACGAGAAGGCCATTCTCATTGTCATTGTACCTCTAACGTAAGTATGTCAACTCCACTGATATAGAAAAGGATGGGAAAATAAAAATAATGGGTTCGTTAGACTGAGGGTACTCAGAAGTCAGTTCTAGGAGTGTGCGAATAGCAATTTTTGGGTTAAAATCAAATCAAATCAAATAATATTTTCGAATACGGAATAGTACTGAGCAAATATTTACATTTTACCCATGGCCTAATTTTGGCTCTTAAGTATACATGTATAAGTAAGTATTGTACAATATATTTCCATTTCAATCTATGGAGTTTAAATCCCTCATTGATATTTTCTATTTTGAATATCCTACTAATTCAATGTGATATCCTATAAAGCAAAGATGAAAGTAAGACTCCGACAAAATAATAATAAACCAAGTTTTTAATTAAAAACAATTTATACAAATTGGTAAATACAAAGAGATCATAAAACAAAACGGTACACTACTTTTGTAAAACTCAAGTAGCATATGTTGGAAGTATGAATAATCCATTAACCCTAGAGCTGGCACCAGTGTAACGCTGTACTGGCATAGGGATATTATTGATTATGTAATATCATTTATAAACCATCATAAAAATTAGAAATAGCAACATAACTATGGATTATTATATATCATCTTGTTCAGAATAAGACAAAGAACAATAATATAGGTGGTTTACATGGTTACCACAAAAAAATGTTTCTAGTTTTTCCGAATTGTAGGCATTATTAATTTTTTTATAAAATGTGTTTATATTCCGCTGTGTAGCTAAGTGCAGGTAAGACTTATCATCATAAGGTAAATTGTAAAATTGTAGTAAATTTTGTGCTGATTCCAAAAATATATAGTTTATATAGCTTATTTTGTGTATTTTGTTTGATAGCCCTATTATTATGTTGACCGTACCCCCGTGCTAGTACCAAATAATCATCCAACCCAGGTCATGTACAAAACCGTACACCTTATACACTAATATATTACATACAATCACGTGCAAAGGGCCTATATCTAAAATTTTATGAAATTAGCTAATGAATAAAAAAGTCATGCAAAAGGTTATTTATTTACTTACATACATAAATACAATCCCTCCAATAACATTATTCTGATTCGCTCGACATCATGTTCTTGGTTTGGATATGATTTCATACTATAGGTGGCTAAGAATATTGTCCATGCAGGTTGTGGCAGTTCTTTTATCCTGGGCAGTTAGCTAATACTTACACAATGAGTTTGTAGGCTATTGTTTTTGTATCCCGAACTACTAACACAGTCTCCGAACTTTACCTGATTCCCAAAACACTTCACAACAGTTACTATACACTTACATGCTGTTAGTCTTCATAAAACTGCTAAAGTTATAGGCCTATTCTATAAACTAACACATACAAATAAAATAAAAGATGTCAACATATTTACATTATTTACAAATAGGCCTAGGCCTAGATAGGCCTACATTGTGTGTTCAGTTTAGGCCTACTTTACTCCGAATCACTTGAATCCCTAGCACGCTTCCGTCCAACGCTTCTCAAAGGCCTAGGGTAGTGTTCCAGAAGGTGGTAGCAGTTTTGGTGCACTCCACAGTTACACCCAGGGCAGAAGTAACTGGTTCGCTTCTTTATGCCTTTAGATTCACAAACAGAGCAAAGGCAATTGTTCTTGTTAGGTAGGAGGGTCAGCTGGTGAGTCGGTGACAGGACATTATGATTCGGATTATGTGTTCTAGTTGGGGATTCAACCTGAGGCCTGGTAAGATCAGTTACTATGGAAACTAAGAATTCCCTTCTGCTGAGTGGTTTGTCGGTATTGAACTTGTACAAGATGTAGGCATTGTGCAGGAACATGTCGATGAAGTTTGTGAAGATTTTTTCCAGTATTTTCTGGTGCCTCTTGAACAGGTGTTGTGGTACATACATTTGTCCTTTACATCCACACCTCCCATGTACTTATTATACTTTTTGATCAGAGGAGGTTTGATAGCTTCATTCCCACTGTTGCTTCTGACTAGCAGGTTTTCCGCATGGCAGGCAGTAGTAAGGCAATAGACCGGTTTCCTTTTTTTAGTTTCTTTAAACCCACCAAGAGTATATCTTTTTTTCGAAAATACACAATTTATGTAGGCTGTTGGTTCTTTGATAAAAGGCTCTTAGAGAGATCTTTGCTGTTCTTTCTAACAGTTCCAGTTAGGTATGTCGGTCTAGGAGTTTTTCAGCTAGAGTATTTTTGTATACCAATTATCTGTGAATAAATGGTATCCCTTAAATAAAAAATTAGTCTGGGTCAATAGATGTCTAGGTCACTTTCTGTGCTAGGGATCATCTCCACCAGATAGGAATTTTTTACCACTGTACAATTCTGAATACAAAACATAGCTTGTCTCACTATCGCAGATTTCAAACTTTTTTAGGCCAAAGCGGCAGTGCCTTTTGTTTGGCATGTACCGTATGTATGTCACTCTATTTTTCATTCCTATGAGTGATTCAATACAAATATGTTGGTTGGGTACGAAATGTGATCTAAAATTGTTATTTAGTTCATTGATATAAGGCCTAACTTTATTCCATGGGTCATGTCCATCAAAGTATATAACACAACTGGTAGATAGGAGATTTGGGATAAAAAGCGCGCCGTTTCAGCAACCTTCCCCCACCACAAAGGGGGACTCGATGCAGATATGTCAGTTCCTCAAGCCGTGCACGCGGTTGTTAATACGCTCCTGGCCGTGCATACAATAGGTTGACTGCAACTGAAGTTATATATTCGGAATCTGCATTAGCTGCAGAATCTGACAGTATAAATATAATCTATAATATTAAAACGAAACAGTGTTTTTTTATTTCACGATTCTGAATCAACCACTCGACGGATTTTCATGATTTTTGTGTTGAAAGAAAGATAATTTTGAGAACTAGGGAATCTCAAAGCCATAATTTTAGTTTAGGGTCCCAGTTTTTTAGAAATTAAGTTTTAATTTTTAAAAAGTCTAGCAGCCGACGCTAAGATTCTAAACTAGCTTTTGGCATAAAATAATTTGCTTAACATAACAGCTGTAAACATTCAGCTTTTGTGTCACAAATTCAGCATTTGGATAAAAATGTAAAGACATACTTAGGGTTGACTTATTTATACTATGTGTAATGCTAATCATTGATACGTTCAATCCTTCGATAAGAGGATGACAGATTTTTTAAATATACTAGGATGTTCAAAGGATTTCTTAAATAAAAATCTTTGCAATCTTCGGTTTGTTTTAGTGCAACATAATTTGTTTTAACTAACAGCTGGTTAAATATAAACTATGGAACCATGAGGTTATTTTATTTACTCTTATTTTGTCATTGATTATAGGAAATAAGTAAGATTAGTAGAGATAATTAGACCACAGTTTAAAATAGTTTAGACCACAGTACAAATCGAGGCTCTGTACACGAGTCTTAATAAAAAAGGATAAATGCAAATTATTTTACTGCTCCACTTTTCAAGGAAAGAATAGAAAAATAACAATGTTTACATGTTTTAATTCTTCATGGTAGCTTTTTGTTTACAATTAATGTTTGTCTGCTTTAACTTTGTTTGGATTATGCCCGGAAATATTGATGTCATAAAAAGAAGATCAATAATAATCAGGAATCACGATTTTAAATTACCACCACAACCTCAGCCGGGTTTTATACAAAGATAAACAGATGGATGACATAGATGGAACACATTCACTTAGGATACTGCAATTAGACAAACCATTCTTTTATGAAATCGTGTTCAGTTGTGGTTACGTTTGGGGGTGCCTATATCAGCGCCCCCAAACACGAAAATATCACTTTTATTTCAACTATGAATATATTGTAGTTTAAATTAACTAATATGGGAAATTACGATGTACATTTATTCAATGAGGGTGGGTAATTATCAAGGATAGAACTGATAACGGTATGGATAGTAAACATTGACAATTACGTCATTAGCTTTACTAGCGTGTTTACTTTTTATATTCCTGCAACATGTTACCAGTTCTTTTTTTTCAAATAAATGTTATTTGAACCAAACAGCTGTTTCAAAACAAACTGTTATTGTTTTTACTTTTCTTTGTTTACACTTATTTATTTAGTAATCAATGCAGTGAAATTGATATAAAGGATAGGTGTGACGATTAGTTTTGATGTTAGGACACCAAAGTTAAATTATGTGTACTGTGAATTTTATTGGATATTATCGTTTTATTTAAGGTCGTTTCTATTCAGACCTACTGGAAATTGTGTATAGTAGTTGTATTGTGGTGATAATAATTATGGAAGAGGAAGGTATGCTATGGAAGGTAGTATCGTTGACTAGGTCTATACACTTCTCAATTGACTATTACCATTGACTATTGGATACAGAAGTTGTATAATATAAAGAAGTGTTGTATTAATAGTCAAAGCTATTGCTCTCTCTACTGTAGGCTACTTATTATCAGTGTGCGTCTGTGCGAATCGGCTGCAAATCTCACTTCAACGCATTTCACATTGTAAAAATTGCAGAATTGCTGTTTTATTGTAAAATTATCAGATTTAAAATGCATATTGTATAGGCCTATGATGGAATTAAAACTTATTTGGTCACACAACATTTGTTTAAAGATGATTTTTCACATTAAAACTGCAAGACACTTTGTCTTTATATGTGTAAACTAGCTTATCTGAATTGTACACGGTTTTAACTGACTACTGAATTCCCGTACGTAGGACGGGCTAACACCTCGTCTTATTTAAGTCGTAATTTGAATTTTAACAACTAAAAATGTTAAACAAATATCACACCTTGACATAAAAAAGTTACTAAGCGAGGATTTTTTTTATTTTTTGGTCAGAAACAAACTTTAAGCGACAAAATTGTAGCTAATGAGATGATCTTCAGCATATAACCAAGCAATTTCAAATAACATTTTCTAGTCGTGAGTAATGGAGTAATTAGTAACGCAAAGAGGTTCTTTATAAATCGCCCCGCGGGCCGTTCTCCCTGGTTCCGCTGATCTTTTCGTTTACGGTACTCCCAGAAACGTTTTGAGTACAACCAATAGTTATATTAAATACATATTTATTACAGGTAACACATAACTAGATACTGTAAATTAAAATATAAATGTAGACTAGATGTTCAGGGACAGGCAATCCTAATTTGTTTAGTTGTAACAAGGGATTGTTTACTATCTGCTTTGTTTGGTAATTAATGAGTGATTTCAAGTCTTAGGGTTTATTTATTTATTTATACCAAAAATTCATATACAAAATTGTTACATTCTTCTTTACTCTTCTTTTAACTAATTTCATTGCACAAAAACCTCGATCTGCTAACGTTACTTGTAACGACTACCCACAATATTATTAATATTATTTTATTAATACATATGAATTTTTACTACAATCCTCTAACTTTATATACTAAAACTTTCAATTTAAACCAATGTTACTTTCGTCAATACATACACAATTCCTCATTTACTATTTCCATTTTTTACCAACACCTTTATAAAACTCAATCTGCAAAAATTTAATTACCAACTACTGCTAATTAGCCACCACCCCACAATGGGGTGGTGACGAGCCAAAGGCGAGTTACTTTTATTCTGTTTTTCGTAATCCTGTAGTAACCTCAGAGTAGGCCACAACTTTTACTACATTTGGAAGCAAAAATAGAGCCCAGATGTTACCATTACCATTCCTTAATTTGTCTGCATCAGGATGTTCAGGGCAGTTAGCAAGAAGTAATAATGCTCTAAGAAGCAGCTTCTGTTTTTTTTTCAAAAAGGTTTTGACCGATGTATCAAGGCTGTTATGAAAAAGACAAGTATTGAAAGAAAAGTTTGGTGTGGTAATCCTTCAATCAGTTGACAAGGCAAAGTCCAGCTTGGCAGTCAGGACACTATAGTTCGGCCGCTTAGAAAACGACCTGCGCGCTAATGCTAAACCAATGCTAATGTTAAACCAATGCCGAACTATAGTAAACACTCTCTTTTCTCCCACCTCGCTTACAACAATGCTCTGGGATTTTTTCCCGGAGAACTTAACTAACAGCCAATCACCGACTTCGGAGTCTTTGAACACTAAATGTTTTTCATCTTCTGGTAGATCTTCATTTAACTCTTCCGAAAATTCCTTCAGCGAAAGTAGGTCATCATCAGGGTTGGAGCTCAAGTCCGATTCGTCTTCGATCTGTTTCCTCTTCCTCTTCCTGGGTGGAGACAAGTCAGATGGTGCTGTCAGATGTTCGACACCAGTAGAAATTGAGGGGTTTGAGCTCTCAAGCACGTCGTCTTGGGAAACACTTTTCCCTGGTACGACATTAAGCCTTTTTTTTACCTTTCTTCTGGCTGCGCCAAGAGTTCAAGCTTGGAGAGTAATTCTATTACCCCTTCTCCAACCGAATTTCTGGCTTTCTTCGTTGGGGTTTCTGGTTGTGTGGTGGTGGGAAGTTTTTCTAAAACTACTTGGGGGTCTAGGGGTACGATTCCACACACCTCAGCATTGGGGAAGCAATGCTTTAGCAGCATTGGGGATGATAGCACACATCAGGTCATTTAGGAGAGTTGGGAAATGTTTTTTTGCCAGGTTGGAGAGCCGACGATCTGCATTCAACTTCCATGTGCATAGGATATCCCTCCAGGCAGGTTTCAGGGGCCTAAAAAAGGCATTGAGCTTTTGGACATCTGGTCTTTATTGATTTTTCCAAAGCCTTTGCGAACATGACTCCCTTCTTGCCAGTTTGTATGTACTTCTTTAAAACTGAGCTTATGCCATCAATAATTGGCAAAACATATATAAGAGTAGGCAAGGAACTACTTGAGGCCAATGTAGTCCCACTATCTAGGGGCTTTAGAATAACTGTGTAGCCCTCAGCTAGTTCCTATTCATTCGATGTTAAGTTTTCAATTTTGACTGCACTGGCAAAATCAGCAGAAATTGGTTGTTTCAATTCTAGGAAGTGTAACAACATGCGGTGTTCGCTATTCCAGCGTGTTTCGCAATTTTGGACAAGGTGCAATGGTCATCCCTAACTGAATTTCAACCTGCACCTCCCACTACATCCTCAATGATATTTTCAATATTACAAACATTATTTACAATAGGATCATCATTGTCAAGATCAAATTTCTCCCCCTCATTACCTCATTCCTTAGGCTCTCATTATAGGCCTACCTCTTGCTGAGCAAAGTCAAAGTCTTCATTATCATTTGGATCTGATAAAAGTGTCTCATCGTCATCAATCCAACTATAAATTTCATTTGAATGTGCTATTGTTACTAAAAAATAAGTCATTTATATATATTAATCCCCTAAAAACTTAAAATTACACTGAGTTTACAACACAGCTCAATAAACACAAACTAGACACGAAACAGTTCGCTAAACTGCCGTGGGTAGCAGCACGCGGCGGCCTGTCACTGTGCTACCATGTACGTCAAACCACAGTGCAGACGGCATTTGCCTTGCGTACGGTGTACGTCAAACCACGTTGAGGAAAGAATGGTTGACAGTCTTTTCAGTGGTTGACAGGGTGACTTTTATAACGATGAAATAAATATTGTCCTTGAAATAGGTGTGTAGTATTAAATTACTATTCAGATTTTGAATATTCACACACCTAAATATGACACTGTAACTATAATTTGTGAAGTATGCATGTCTATTGTAAAAGGTCCAATGTAACTAAGAGTGCAATATCCATAATTGATAATTCGCAGGTATAAACTAGGTATAAACTAGCAATCTTAAAACTAAGTGAGCATTACCACAAACTCTTCTACCTAGCCAGTATTTATAGAACGTAATACTATACCTATTGAGCATTTCTTAAACAAACTTTATCCTAAGTTAAACATTCAAAAGCTTTGGACAGAATTAACAGAGTGTGTTGTCCCGCAGATTGCTGGCTGTGGTGTGGCGTAAGGAGGCTCAAGTCTACCTTCTGTTGTCCACTGTGGGCCACTTCTCTCTATTCCCTCTACTCTTTACTCCGTCGGAGAACTACATCAAGGTGGTTTTGTTCCTGCTGCACTCTGTGTACGCATTCCAGAAACTCTCCTCACTGTTCGACATCACCGAGGGTCGACATCTGCCACTGCTCTCGGTCGCCGAGTCTCTCTACGTGTTTAGTCTTGCAGCTCTGTTTGTCACAGAGTACGCTGTGTTTCCTCTGATAGGTCTGACAGCCAAGTATCCGTTCCTTCCGCTCATGTTGACCTCAGTACACTGCGCTATGGGCGTTCTGTACTGTTGGCTTAGGTACTACTGGCATTTCATGACGATGGACAAAACTAACCGCAAGCGAAAAGCTTATTAATTGATACAATTTTAGTTAAATTTGTGAATTTAGTTATGCTTTCTGCACAACGTGTTAAAAGACTTTTTGTTTAACATGCTAGTCTCGGTTGTGTGAATTGCACATAAGTAAGTCATCTACCAAGTGACATCTAGACATATTGAAATTTAATGTAATGTTATATATTTTTTGTCAAGTCTATTTACAGAAATATTTAAAGAATACATATGCATATTTATTTCTATATCAGCGGCATGTATATATATTAAATTTATAGATAGACAGTAACACCTCTTTTTAACTGTCACTGTCAGACTAAAGTCACTATGAATAGTGGATATTGTAACAAAAGTATAATATGAATCTAACTTTAACTACATTGAAATTCAACTGGTAGAAGTGTAAACCAATTGAACCAATTCTAGAAATGGAAAAATGTTTTGTAAATCATACAATTCCTATATTATACAACAAATCACCCATGAGCCTGACTGAAACAATAATTACTTTAACCCATTGATTTTAACTTGCGCAAGACCTTTAGCAGCAATTAATTTCCCATGGAGCTCACTGTTTTGATTGTAGCCTTAACGGTGATGCTGCGATAGGAGCGCTAGCTGGAATTGGCATGGTTGTCAATATATGTTCCACAAAATTCAACCGAAAATCAGTGTAATGCATGCTTTGATTTTCTTATAGACACAGAATGCAGGGTCATGTCCATTAAATAAAAAAAATATCCTCTTTTATGCTTTGACGGTACGCCGCATTATGGTAAAACTAGACAGGACTTGTTCCTGCCGGTCAACCCCCAACATACATCGATTGTACTCAATGATACATTTTGGTTTTACTATGTCAATTTCCTGATTTCCTTGTTTGACTTTCTTAAAAACTGTCATATCAATGTCCTCGTGCATAGATGGCAACATATGGACATCTTTCCTATCACTCCATTTGATAGCTAAAACCCAGACTGTTTGATGCTTCTCCTTTTTCCAGTTTAGCTTCCTTGAATGCCTGAGGCATACACCTCCTGTTCCTACAGCATGAGTGTCATTTTGGGCTAATTTGGTGTATAAGAGAGGGGAAGAATACCAGTTGTCAAGATATACAATGTAACCTGTATGCATAAAAGGTTGCATCAAATCAAGAACCACAGCCTCACTTGCCAATACATCCTTCTCCTTATCTTCGACAACATACATTTTGAAACAGCAACAATACCCCGAAGAAGATTCTCATACCTTATAAATTTGTACACCAAATCTAGCCCTTTTTTGGGGTTGTACTGTATTATGCCCATTCTTGCCATCATTTTCAAAAGGGTCTCGTCGAGCAACATCTCTTTCTGGCTCAATCATAATTATGTCGAAATTTGGTTTCTAGGTAATTTATCACAGGCCTGATTTTTTTCAGCTTGTCTTGATTGACTTCGGTCTCATCTGAATCATTGTAAAAATGTAGGAACCTCGATATACTCAAAAATCTCTCACATGACATGGTATTTGAAAAGATAGGAGTTTTGATGATTTTCCTATGGGACCAATACTGCTTTATATCTGGTTTTCTGATCTGTCCCATATTCACATGTAATGAGAAATTAACCTTCAATTCGTCTACAGTTACATCATTCTATTTGTCATCAGACTTGAATTTTTTCCTGTCTGGGGTTGCTAAAAGCTTACGCGCATAATCATTAGTTTTGACACATAGCATGTTCCAAAACTTATCCCCTGCAAACTGCATAAAGGTTTGCAGTTCTAATGGATTTTCCCCATGGGCCCGCAAAGAATACACATTTATGCAGGGTACCCAACAGAAATCAATATTTTTGGGTATGTTTTTTCATCAACCCAAGGCCAGTTGCTGTCTTCAAACTTCTGTTTCTTAGCCTTCGGTGGTTTAGTACTGGTACTACTTTGATAGACCTATGTGTTTTTACAGGCTTAGTTTTTTGGGCTGGATTACATATCTTAGTAACCTTAGGCTTAGGCCTAGCTGGTTTGGGTTTGCAAATGTTACTTGTAGGAATTTGACTACATTCCGTAGGCTTAGAACTTTAAATTTCAGAAAATTTACTCTTTACTGCGGTTGATTCAGGTCGTACATAAAAACTAGTACTCGGGACAGGATCATTGGATTGGCCATAAAAACTAATATTAGGGACAGGTTCAATAGATTGGCCTTCATCAATAACATTTTGGGAAGCAGAGTCATCTGCTTTGTTTTCATTTTCAGTATCTAGGTTTAGGCCTAGCTCATTTTCATTCTCGGGCCTGTTACATTCTATATCTTGTTCATTCTGAAGACTACCTAATTCTAATTCATTACCTGAATTAGGAAAATTATTACCATCAAAGTCATAAAAAAACATGGCCGATTTCCTTATGTGAGATGTATCCAACACTAAGATAATCCACCGGTGTTTCATAATTATGTTCGTGCTGGATAATTTCATAATCAAATCCATTATCACTAACACCATCTAAACTTAGATCATTGTCACTGTCTAATAATTTATCTAATTCAGAATAATTATGTAAACTGTTATCAATTTTACACAAGAAACATAACCACAAATACAAACAGAACACTCTACTCAACACCTGTGCAACAGATTACTCGTCTATTTTCCAAGACACAGGACCCATAACCAACCAGGCAAAACTAAATATCCTAATACAGCTAAAAGACAGTCAATGAACATGCCAGAGCGATCTATCGGAAAAGCAACAAACTACGTCGGGCGCAACGAGTCAGACTCGGTGTGTCTACCCCAATGGTTGTACGGTACAAAATAGGCAATAATATAACAAATAAAAACTTGAATGATAAGGCTGAGCTTGAAGATAAGCAGCCAACTTGAGAATGTCTGGCCCAAGATTCACTCTGAGGGGCTTTGTTCATTTATGAATCTGAGCCAAGCTCTCCTGAGAGGTTATATTTTCACAAAATTTGTACAAGGGCGCCCATGATTGAATGAGAATTTTAATTTTGTTCATATCACTAAGAGTCGTTGAGTCTAATTATTTTGTCTTTAATTGAATTTTTATTTCGTTAAATAATCTCATACTTCTAAAATCATTGAGCACAGTTACCAATGGTCCAAGAATGAATATAACACACACCATGCTAATCGATCCTGACATACTAAAAAGTCACCATGTTCCACCACAGTGGTGGTCTTAAGTAAAAGCTAGTGTGGAAACACTGTTCCAAGTGGCAGGAATTGTGGATTAAAGTTACTGCACTGAATTATTATAACAGTATAATTGCATCCCATGTTTGTTGATGGTAGAAGACTAAATTAAGCATTTCAAAATTCATGGACATTTCCTTGTGGTGCATGGAAACAATTACTATATATTGTCATTTTTTTAAAGTGACAGTTAATAGATGGTTTACTAATGGTTGATTTAACATATTTATGGGACCAGTCTCTTTGTTCTAACATGAAATAGGATTAGAATAAAGAAACATGTAAGGTATTGATTAGCCATCACAGGAGTTAGGTATAACAAATCAGCTAAGTCAAATATTCAAACTTAACTTCCTTGGTTGAAACTCCACTCCTATGTTGAACTGCAATAATTAGTGTTACTTCCAAAAAACAAAAAGCTACTAACTCAAATATTCACAAGTAATATTATTCTGAACCACTAAAACATTGCTGTTGAGATAAACAATTTTTAACAGTGAATTACTGGATTGAGGTTGACTATAAAATACTTTCAATATTTCTGAGTATCTGAAAAATAGACTTTTCTGTTTGTACAATATTTTGATTTCATTTCAATGACCCTCTACAGTTTGTTTGAGCTCATTTATAATCTTACACAATGGATGCCACTTTTAAACTAAATACTTTTAGTTAGCAGTTGGTGATTATCAGTTTTTTTTGTAAAATATTTTTTCCAAGTTTTTAATGATTTTAGATTGATAACAAACAATTAAGTTGTTGTTATTGTATATTAAAAATAAATATTATTATTTCCAGTTGATTGTTGCTACTTTGTAAGGGCAATTACAGTTTGGGGTAATTTTCCTGAACCAAGTAAAGTTGTTTTAAGATGGTGTATGCATTGGGCTATTAATAGCAACAATGACCAAAAGCGGTAAGCGGCAGCGGCCGCATATATATGGGTTAGTGGCGACTTGCCTTTAATGCTTGTTTAAACAATAGTAAAGTACCTGGGGACCAAGCCATAGCTAGGTAGTTTATTTTCTTTTTACCCCTATATCGAGTAATTTTTAGTGTAATCTTTGCTCAATAGTAGCCTAACTTGTTTTTCCCTTTGTACTTTATTTTTTAATTTGCTAGTATATTGTAAATAGCTTGTTATCAACACATGTGGCAAGTCTTTTGTTTACTTTTTCCTGGTTATTTTTTAGTTCAACCTTGTTCAACCAACATGGTTACTGGCAACCCACAAAGCCAATGTTAAAAAATATTTACTTTCAATTTCACTTTTTTATGCAATTAGATTTTGGTTGGCATTTTCACCTGCAGTAAACACGTTTTTAGGCCAGATATAAATGATTTAAAACATGTGAAGGAAATCGTCAAAGCTGTTTTCGAGATCTTTGTGCAAGCATACATACAAGCACACATTGCTCATATAAGAGTATAGGATTTAAAATAATGTAAAAAAAAGATTAAAATGATATCTTGCCAAATATAGTATGAAGTAATAATACAATAAAGTTTCACTAACAGCCAAATATAGGATAAAGGAAGAGTGTAATAATTCTTACTTATCATACAATTCCTTACTCGATTATTCATGTAATTGTTTCTTACACGTATTTTATTTAGCTTGACTGCTCAAGTCTCATGAGAGAGATATTAACACAAATCTTACGCTTGCGCTTGATGTAGACTGACTTCTGGTACTGCAACGACTCACCACATCAAACCCACTGCCCCAGTGATGCTAGCGGCAGTCTTGAAATAGTGCTGTACCTTACTATACTATGTCGGTAATTGTTGTCATCATAAACCCATTGCATTAACAAATTGTAATTGACCTTACTTTGCTAAGGAAAATCACCTCTAATGAAAATTGACCCTTGCAACTTTGATGAACAACCACATTTGATTAACTTGTCTTCAGTCAAAAAATTACAAAAAGTAATGACTTTATATTTTTTGCTAATATATAACCAGAAGAAATAAATGTACAAATCTGTAGGGACCAATATACAGGCAACAAACAAAGTT